ACGCCCCAGATCCCAGATCCCGGTCTCAGCCTGTAATTTGAGTCCAAAGACAATTAGCCACAGGCGGCCCCACCCCACCCCACCCTCAGCCCCACCCCAAACACAAACACCCAGGAGGCTCTGGACAGACCTCTGCCCAGCCCCAGCCCTGGCCCAGGCCCTCGCCCCAGGGAAGTGGGTCCCCCCACGCCCCTCCCCCCCGCAGGACCCCCACAGCCCCTCCACAGGGCCAGACTCGGGCATAGCTTCTGGTGGGATCCGCTGGCCTCAGCCTCCCCCAGACCCACACCCGTGTCCAAGGCAGGGGTGACCCAGGAGGCTCCTCAACAGGGGAAAAACGCTCACACGCACCCCCGCCCGCCCCCAGCGCCACAAGGCCGGACGACCATGGCTGCAGCCTTTGCTGGCATGTCAGGGTGGCCCTGCCTGGGTCAGAGAAGGGGCCCCGAGGGAGGGTGCTGGACCCCATGGCCTCTCCCCACCAGCGCACCCCTGCCCCCGCCCAACGTCCCAGGGCTCTTGGGCTCTGGGGCCAGGGTGCACGTGCCCGCAGTGGTCTGAGGCCTGGGGTGCCCTCTTGGGAGGGGTGGGCCGAGGCCATCTGGAGCCCTCCCCAGGCCTCCAGCCCCCCGCAGCGCTTTCCAATCCAATCTCTTCCGCTCCACCCGCCTGGGCGAGGGCCAGGACCCCGGGCTCCCCGCGCCGCCCAAGCTGCCAGCTCCGGGACAGTCCCCGCTGGGCTGCCAGGCACCAGGCACAGCGTGGGGGCAGGCTCAGGTACGGACCCTGGGAGCCCACCCAGTGGCGGCCGCGTCCCGGACGGAGACCCACGAATGCCTTTGGTTGGTTCCCCTGGGAACCCGCGGGTGTGGGCTGGGCAGTCAGAGGCTTGGGGTGTCTGTGCGGCCCTCGGTGGCTGGGGTGGGGGTCTCGCCTGGAGCAATCTAAGTCCCGCCCCTACCTGTTCCCCTTCATCTGTGGGAAGCATCAGGTGTGAGTAACTCGCCAAGGTGTGTCCCTGAACCTGAACCCGCAGCGTCCCGGGCCTTCAAGCGGGCCTTCAAGCTACGTGTGCTGGGGCTGAAAGGGTCCCCAGCCTGGGCCTCTCCCCGCCCCACCCTGAGGACAGGACCTGGGGCCCCTCCAGCCTAGTGGCCCCTCCAGCCCTGTGGCCCCCCTGGAGGGGCCTGGGTCCACTCCAGGCCACCAGGCAGGCCTGCTGGGGCAGCCTCTAATCTCCAACCCAAGGGTGACGCATCCCCTCCCTCCCACCCCGCCCCCGACCGGTCTGAGCAGCCTCGGGTGGCAGAGCTGCCCAGACTTGCCGGTCCGTCCCTCCCTCCCGGTGCTCTCAGCCCTCAGCCCCGGAAGTGGATGCCTCTCCCAGGGCAGCAGCCTCCCCCCCTTGGGTGGCTGGACACGGCTGGATAATCCAAAATAATTCCTTTTTGGCAGGCAGCCGGCGGAGGAGGGGGGACTCACATTCCAAACCCTTGTTTTTCTCAGTCACTTCCCTCCTTTCCTGGAGCAAGGAACCCCTGGCCAAACCTCAGGCCTCCTGAGGGGCCCACCCCAAACACCGAGGTGCTCCCCCCTTCGCCGTAGCGATCTGGCAAGAGGTGGGGGGCTCAGATCTGTGGAGCCCACCTGTTTGTCCTTTATCTTCTCTGGGAATTATTAAAAACTGAGACGACACAAAAACACCAAGCAGGGTCAGCCAGGGACCCTCACCTCAGGGCGGGGGACGGGCTCTCCACCAGCCGCTCCACCCCGACTCCCAGACTGCGTGTGCAGGCCCCACCAGGGCAGCGTGTGGGCTGCAGGCTCGGGTCCCGCAGCGCCCTCCACCCTGCTGCTCCCCCGGCCTCCATGGGGCCCAGCACTGGGCTGGGGCAGGCCTCAGGGGCTCCCTGCGCAGGCACAGGCCAGAAACCCCTCCAGGCCCCAGAACACGCCGCTGGCTTTGGGGCCCAGCTTTGCCCCCAGTCCTGACCCCGCACAGACCATGGGGGCACAAATAGACCCTTTCCTTCCTTTTCCAACTTGTTAGGAACAGCGGCTTTAGCGACGTGGCAGGAAGCTCGGGGCTCGAGTTTCGGTACCCCAGAAATCTGCTAATCAGCCTGAGCACGGAGGAGTGGGAAGGGCCGTCCAGGAGGGCTTCCCGCAGGAGGAACCCTGGCGAGGCGGAGGGGGAGCGAACGCTCAAGGCCGGGGTAGGTGCCTGGACCACGCGGTTCTGGGGCTTCCTGGGCTCCAGAACGTCCCCGAGCCCGCACTGGCCAGCAGACCCGGGCGGCCTCCACAGGCCCCGAGGACAGGCAGGCAGGCCGGGCCGCGACACCAGCTGCCCTAGTCCCACCTTCTGGGCCCCGCACAGCCCGGGGCGCGCAGGGTGGTCCCCACCGGAGCCCCCGGGCGGCTGCGGAGGCGCAGGGCGGCGGGTCCAGCCTCCCCGGAACCGCGGCTGCGGCGGGGGCGGCTGGGCGGGGGCCGAGCTCCGGCGACCGGGAGACTGCACCCGGCCACGGCCCGGTCCGCGCAGGCGGGAGCGTGGGCGCGGAGGGAGAGGAGAGAGGGGAGGGAGGGGCGGGAGGGCGAGGGGTCCCTAGGGCGCTGCGCGCGGGGCTCCCCGGGAACCTCCCCCCGCCCGGCGCCGGGCCTCGCCGGCCACCTGGGAGCCCGGGGCGCACGGACGGCCGAGGCCCGATCGCGTCCGCAGGGCGGCAGCGGCCCCGGGTCCCGGCGCCGCGGAGCGCCGACTGGGACCGGGCGGCGCCCACGGCGAGGCCCCCCGCTTGCCCCGCACCCGCGTCGCGGTACCTGCACGTCCGCCGCCGAGGCTCGATGGCGCCCGGGCCGCGATCGGCGCTGCGCTCCGGCCCGCGCGGCTGCCATGGAGACGGGCCTTTGTGTGGCCGAGGAGGGGCCGGAGCGCGCGGGAGCAGCCGCCCCGCCCCCGCGGGGGAGGGCGGGGAGGCGGCGGAGGCCGGCGGGGCGGGGGCGGGGGCGGGGGCGGGGGAGGGGGGAGCAGGGGAGGGGCCCGGCCCAGCGGGTCCCGCCGCTTTGCCTCACCCGGGTTCCGGCCAGCTTCTCGGCAGGCGGTGGGCAACCCCCCTCCCGGCCAGGCCACCACCTCTGCTGTCCCCCAGGGGGTCCGGGGACTGCTGCGCCCTGACCCGCTCCCAGGCGCCACAGCCCCCCCCTCTTCGTGAGAGGTGCTCCCCAGGTCCAGCCCCCAGGCCAGCAACAGGGCTCACCTGCCGGCTCCCGCCCAGGCTGGAGTGCTGAGCAGCAGCTGGACACTCAGGGACGAAGGGGGCCATTGCCCAAAGCCTCGCTCCCCCCACGATGCCCCCTCCCTGGCCTGTCCTTCCAGCACACTCACTTTCTCCTGTCCCCTCCACACCCTCCAGCACCTCCTACTGTTCAGCCCCCAGTGACCAAGACGGCCCCAGCCCCAGGGAGCTCCCAGGAGGCCCTGAGCCAGGTCCACACCAAAGCCCACCCCATCCCTGCTGCAAAGGACCCCTAATGTTACCAAGGTTCACAAGAAGGCCAACTTATCAAAAAAGGAAGTTAAAAGACAAGCACTGTCACAGCAGAATGTTTTAATACCAGAATGTGGGAAGGCGCTATCCCAGACTGGAAGGGAATCTTTAAATAAAGCACAGGAAGCCCCCGGGGGGGGGGAGAACTGTCCTTCCTGTCCCTGCCCGCCGCCCCCCCCCCCCCCGCAGCCACCACACAGCCCCTCCAACCTCGAGGCCCCAGGGACCAAGCACAAGACCCTCCGGGGCCAGTGGGCTCCTACCTTGCAGGCCCTCGGGGCTCTGGCGGGGCGAGGGGGGCAGGAGGGCCCCTCCTCCCTCCTGTGCTGACCTGCTAGGGGACAGACCCAGAACACCAGAGCTGACCTCATCCCAGGCGCGAGCAAGGAAGCTTCTGGGGAGAGAATGCAGCGGGCAGGACTGCCCAGCTCCCACAGAGCCCCCGCCAGAGCCACATCCGTGCAGGGGTCAGGCTGCGAGGGAGAGGGAGCCTCGGTGGCTGCCGACACTCCTGGACAGGTGCTTCCTCAGCCCTGCATGCTCCAGCCTGGGACTCCTCCCCCCCCCCCCCCCCCCCCCCCCCGGGCAGCAGTGCCCCTGCCCACAGTGGTCACTAGGATGAACTGCTGTGAGGCACAGACGGGGGCCTCGGCTGCATCCCTCAAAGCCCCAAGGGAGGACTCGGGGAATTGGGGGGACCTGGTTGGGCCACCCTGGAGCGATGGTGGCTAAGGTCCCTAGGGGCTCCGAGGCCGCCCTGCAGCCCCTCCTCCCTGCAGCCTGTGTCCTCCAGCCCTTCGGCACACGCACGACGGCAGACCACCTGGTGGGTGTGCAGTGTGACCAGCACAGCCAGGGGGATGTCTGGAGCACAGCCCTCACCGTTGGGGTCACAGTTGTGAGGGGGGCCCGGGTCAACTTCCCAGGCTCCCTTGCAGCCCTGGCCCTCAGGAGGCCGAGGCTGGCACACGAGGGAGCCGGCCAGTCACAAGGAAGGTGCTGGCACCTTTGCAGACCCCCTTGGAGACTGCACCCTGGGCGAGGAGGCTGCGCGTCCACACCAGCCAGCAGGGCGGGCTGCCCAGAGCGGCACCTGAGGCCAGCGTGGGGCTCCCACTCCCAGAGCTTCAGCCTGTTTCTTCTGCAAAGATGAACCCACTGCTTCGGCCGGGCTCTACTCTGTTTAGCGGCCACGTCCTTGGAGGCCACCTCACATGGGCTCAGCCACCCACAGACTGGCTGGCCATGGTCACAGGCTGTCCCGGGCCACGGGCAGGGCCGGGCAAGTCCACAGTGGTGTTTCTGAGAGCAGCAGCCACGGTCATCAGGCGGCTCTGCCCAGGCGGCACAGACAGCGTAGCTCTGAGTCCCCGATCTGCAGGCCTTCGGGGGAGAAGGGGCGGTGCCTCCGGCCTGCGCCCACCATGCCCGCTGCGTCCACTCGCCATTGGGCCCCGCTCAGGGCGGTGGCCAAGCCCCACCTGGGCCTCAGGTGAGCTGAGCCGAGGGCTGGAGGTCGGGGGACTCACCTGTGGACTCACAGTGCCGCGTCCACACCTCGTGCCCGCCAGCCCTCCCTCCCGCCGCCGGCCAACGTCGTCGTCCTATGCTAAGCCGCGACGGGTACTGTGGGGCCAGCGCTCCACAGCAGCGCATGGGGCAGGTCCGCACCCCTGAGGGCCCTTCCGCTCCCTGCAGCAAGCCTGCTGCCCCGGCTCCAGCTGAGGGCACCCAGTAAGTCTAGGGTCCAACACCCGTTGGTTGCACGTGGCAGTGAGGGAGACAGCTGGAGCACCTGCCCAACAGGACGCGGCAGCGGTCGGGGCTCCAAGAGCGGGACCAGGACGCCGGCCCAGACCCTCCCGGCAGCCTCCAGATCAACTACAGGGCAGTGCCCCTCCCCAGCCCAGGACCACAGTGAAGGGCCCGTCCTCCCCCCTGCAGGTCGGTGGCAGCTACGGAGCAGGGGGGTCCACCTAGCAGCTGCCGCCGCGTCTCTGGGGCTAGACAGCCTGGTAGGCCCAAGAACACATCAAATACAAGGCCCAGGGCGCCGGGGCTTGGGCAGGTGGGCACCGTAGGGGGACGGGTGGCCCTGTGCCCAGAGCAACGAGGGCTCACAGCCAGCCCCGCCTCATGGCCCCCAGGCCCTACAGAGGGCAGGTGGGACCCAGGGGGAGGCGAGGCTCTGGCCAGCATGGGGTCTGCCCATAGTCAAGGGCCAGGCTGCGGTTCCAAATGCCACCTTTTACTGCTGGAACACCAGGGGTGCTGACAGGGCGCCAAGGCGAGGGAGCAGCAGCAGAGAGCTTGGCTTGGGGAGCTTGTGCTTGGCTGGGGCCACATCAGAGGAGAAGGAAGCGTGGTCAGACCCAGGCCCCCGGCCCCGGCCGCTTGGCCCTGTCCTAGGGAGGACACAGGACAGCCTGCAGGTCCTTGGGCAAAGAGCCGATGACCGTCTCGATGTACAGCTGTGCCCGCCGGAGCGTTGCCTCCTTCACTGGGAGCTGGTGGCCTTGTGCCTGTACCTGCAGGGGCAGCAGTGGTCAGGGGCAGGTGACCTGCACACAGGCCAGTGGAGGCTCCACAGGGCCAGGAGACAGCTCACCAGCTTCTCCCGAAGTTTCAGGACCAGGTCCACGACCTCCACCTCAGACTTGTCCTTCATCCAGGCCTCGATGTTCTGCTGGGAACATGACACAGCTATCCATCACCATGGGGCCCTCACCATCCCCTGGGTCCCCCTTTCCTCCCCCAGCCCCGGCACCCCCTTACCGCCTCACAGATGGCCTCGAGGTGCAAAGCCTCCAGCTTGTGGGCCATCTCCTTGTACCGCTGCCGGTACCAGCCGTCGAAGTGTGGGGACTTGAAAAACCGCCTGCGGGTGGCAAGATGCGGGAGCTATGGGCTGACCCCGTGTGCCAGGGCGGCCTGCCCTGCCCGTGGCAGGAGCCTCAGGACCCCGAATGCCATCCACACACCTGTACAGGCCCAGCCAGTCGCCCTTGAGGATGCAGGTGAGCTGGGGCCCCGCGTGCTCCAGGCTGCGCAGGAAGTCATCCTGGCGGAAGGGGCGGATCTGGGGAGGAGTCTGAGACAGGGGCCTGGTAAGCGCAGGCTACTGGGGGACACAGCCCCACAGGCCTAGGCCATCAGCTGGCCAGGACCCTCCCCTGCCACACTCCTCAGCCACCTGAGGACCCATAGCCCCCACCCTCCCAGGACAGACCCCCGGACGGCCCCTCCCAGACAGAAGGGCCTAGAGGCCCTCATGCGTGGCCCCATTTTTCTGTCCTATGACGGATGCCTAGAGCCCTGGCGCCTCCCACACGCTCGATGACCTCCTCCCTCCCAGACCTCCCCCAGATGGCCACCGGGACCCGGACCTTCCAGGGTGTGATGCTCTTCTGCAGGGGCATGAGACTGGCCATGTAGTGCTCCTGGGGAGGGGAGGTTGGGAGTGAGCCTGGGGCCACGACCTGGTACCCCCACCCGCTCTGCCCCGGGCCTCACCAGGGGGATGATGAAGCTCTGCGTGAGCTCCAGCAGGTGCCGTCTCAGCAGTGCTGTCTGTGTGTCCCATGGCCTCTTCTTCTGCAGCCCCTAAGCAAGGGGCACGGGCTGAACTCGCCACATGCACCCCTTCACCCAGAGCAGGCTCACCGCCCCACCCCTCCCCAGGCCTCCCCCGGCCTGTACCTTGAGCAGACGTTTGAGCAGCGCCTTGTCCCGGTGGAGGTGGGCCGAGTACGCGGTGTAAAGGCCTGGCAGGAGAGCAGAGTAGGCCTGTCCAGGAGGCCCCCTGGAGCCCTGCCCCACCTGCTCCCACCTCTAGCCCGGGGCAGCACAGTTCCCTGAGAACCCCACCCGCTGCAGAGGAGGGGCTGCAGCCCAAGGGGCACACACCTGGCTTGGTGTCCAGGGTCTTCAGCCTGGAGGGCTTTTTCAGCTTGACCTGCTTGGGAAGATCCCCTGGGGAACACACCCAATGCCAGGCCTCAGGGTCGCAGCCACACCCACCCTGGGCTGAGCCTCTCGCGAGTGGGCCTCTGAGCCCCCGGCCCACCTCCCCCACTGCCTGGGCAGAGGCCGGCCAGCCTCACCTGACATCTTGGGCTCTCCCACACGGAGGATGTGGGGCCAGTGCTGGAGCGTTTTGATAAAGAAAGGGTTTGTGACTCCCAGGACCACGTTTGGTCTAGAGAGAGGAGAAGAGAGAGAGAGAGAGAAGGGGCAGAGGCAGGCCCAGGGAGGTGGAGCACGGGGAGCTGGAGGATGGGGACACACAGGGCACTTACGGGGCCTGCGTGCGGGTGGTGAACTCCTTGAACTCGCTGTCATGGATGGTGAAGTAGGGGCGGTAGTCGCAGCAGAACTTGAGGGGCTGCAGGCAGCTGAGGGCGGGGTGGTCAGCAGAGAGGTCGGCCCCCATCGCTCCTACAGCCCCCTCCCCCACCGCCTTGCCTACCTGATTAAGGCCAGCACCATCTCTGAGGACACAGCAGGCGAGGGTGCCAGGACCACCAGGGGCTCCCCGAGGAGCATGAGCTCCCACAGAGTCTGCACGTGGGTCAGCACGGGCTGGAAGCACCTAGGGCCCCGCAGAGGCGGTCAGGGAAGGCGGCTCCCAGCCCTTGGCCCACCTGCACCCCTGGCCAGGTGGGCCCAGCTCACACCAGGCACCGCCCTGGATAAGACGCGTGAGGACATCTGAGGATGCTCAGGGGTGTCCAGGGCCACCCCACCCTCTGACCGCGGCCTGCCTTGGCCTGGCCCTGAGCCCCCACACCGAAACACGGGGCAGCTGGGTCTCCGAGGCCTGGCTCCCTCACAGATGTGCCTGGGGAAGAGCAGCCTCATGCAGCAAGGAGCTCCCAACACAGCGGATCCTTCCCTCCTGACTTCTAGAACCTTCCTCCCCACAGTGCCCACTTCCTCTTGGAGGTGGCAGCAGAGCCCCGGGCTTCTCCACGATTCTCCCTCATGGAACCGCCCCAGAGTTCACTTCTGGGGCCTGCAGTCCCTCTGGGGGCCCCACGCTGTGCAGGCTTTACCTCATGGGTCCCCTTCACCATCTACTCAGGCAACAGACAGCAGCCTACAGGGCTCACCTGAACAGGTCCAGTTCATGGACGCTGGTGAGGACCACCGGGGCGGGCAGCAGGTTCTGGGAGGAGGGATGGATGGGATCAGGACGGGGGAAGGCTGGTAGCTGGCACCCCGGAGCCCCGAGCAGCACCTTTCACCCCAGGGGAGCCCTGGGCACTGCACCCTTGCCCTGCACACCTCTGCACCCCCACAGCACTGGAGAGGGTGGGGGGCACCCAGCTAGCTTTGCTGAGGGTCTGGCCACCCCCACAGGGCCCCTAGCGAGTGGGGCAGGGACGCCTGGGCAGGTGGGAGGGTCGAGGCAGGTGCGAGGCCACTGGCCCAGAAGCAGGGCCCCACCTCATGGCTACACTGCTTCGGAGGACTGTGCTCAGGCTTGTCCATCCGGGATGGGACTCGAACCTGGGGGACGGAGGGAGTAGCTGCCAGACGGGAGCAGGCATGTCTATAGACCTGGGGCCCTCCCTCCCCAGCCAGCCCTCACCTGGAGGACGACTCCCATGACCGGCAGGTTCAGGGTCTGCCCCGGCACAGGCGCTGGCCACTGGTCTATCTCGTTGCACACTGTGGACACAGGTGGCCAGTGTCGGGAACCTGCCCCAAGCAGCAGCCGCTGGCCGGAGGTGCCGAGAGCTTCAGCCGGGGAGATGGTGCCGTCTGGCAGCGCCCAGCAGCCACTCACCCGCTTCCAGGCAGGGGGCCAACTTGTCAAAATACTCGGGGGCGATGAGGCTCAGCAGCGCCTGGAACAGCCGGACGAAGGGCAGGCGGGACACCAGCACCAGGGACTGCAGGACCCGCAGGGCCGGTGAGAGGTCCTCCCAGCCACGCAGGCTCTGCGGGGCCCCTGATGCCGGGCCATGCAGCGTCTACCCGGGGAGCGGCATCCCGCAAACTCCACAGGACAGCCGTCCCTGGGAATGGCCCATCCTGGACCCCAGGGCCAGTGGACAGAATACCCCAAGCCTGCCCCAGATGGGGCAGGGAGCCCTCAGAGCACAGCCGGGCCCCAGGCCTTCACAGGGAAATGCTCATGGCCAGGATTTCTGGGATGATCTCCCTGGGACTCAAGCAGCTTTTGCTTATGGTGTCTGAGTTCAAGAAGGAAGTTGTCCTAATCTGGAAAGCGTGACCCCACTCCCGTCAGCAGCAAGGAGCAGGGACATCGGGAGCTCACAGGGGGCTGCAGGTGCCGTGACGGCCAAGGCAGGCAGCAGCGCCCGTTCCCCAGAGGGCCCAGGAGGCACCCGCTCTCCAACCCCTCACCTGCTGCCCAGGCGGGGTGGCCTATGTGGCCCAGGCAGTGAGCTGTGCCCCATGCCAAGTGGCTGGGGGCTACAGGACACGTGGGCACCAGCCCTGCCTCACAGCAGCACCACCCCAGAGCAGCCAGGTGGCTCACCTTCTGGAAGTAACCCCTCTTCACAGAACTGTCCTTCACCTGCCTGAAGTACACGTAACCGAAGTAGTGTGCTGGCTCCCTCTGCAAAAACAGCGTCAGCCGGGCCGAGCTCACTCCCCACGTTCCCTCCTGCCCACCCAGACCAGCGGCCAGGGCTGCGACCGCTCTTTCCAGCCATGGGGGTCAGGCTGGGGGGTCCTTGGCTCACAAGGTGGCCGACCCCTCTACAGAGGGCACCTCTGCAGGCACTGTGGTCACAGCTCAAGGGGCCTGGGAGCACCCAGTGGTGAAAACAGCTGCCTCACCCCCACGGAGGCTGGGGCGCCAGACCTACAGGCGTGGTGGGGCTTGCAGCACTTGGGAACCCTCGTGGTTGCTCGCACCAGGCCAGCCCTGGCCTCTGGGGAGAGGCAGCCCGCACTCACTTGCAACGACACAGGGGCCCCGCTGTCGTAGCGGCGGTCCTCAGCATGCCAGGGGCTCCTCTGCCCGCCGCACTGCCGAATGCGGAAGCTGAACTGAGTGTCTCCGAGGCAGCCTGGAAAGGGAGGCAGCCCCCACCCGGCCCACATCAGGGTGGAAACTCTCCTGCCAGCTTGTGGGGAGGGGACCACAGACAAGGCCACGAATGCCTCCAGAGAGAAAGCCCAGCCTGCCAGGAAGGCTGTGTCCTGATTCCTAACCTCAGTCTCAACCTAAACACCGCCCCCAACAGCAGCAGGGACAGCTGCATGCATGGTGCACAGGGTCCCTGGGGGACACTGGGAGGCCCTGGTGTGGGGCCTGGTCGGCTGGTCTGCGACAGGAAAACAGGCCTGCACAGATGGCCAAGTCCTGGAGAAGAGCAAAGGCCAGGTGGCCACTGTGGTGGGATGTAGGAACCAGACCCCACCCATCGCTCTGCCTAGAGACACCCTGCAAATCAGGGTAATCTGACCAGCGCTGCTGCCGGGAGCTCTGGACGTCTACAGGGAGCAGGGAGTGGGTTGGCGCTGGCAGGCAGTGATGCTGACAGTGGTCACATCCACGCCTGGGCCACGGGGGGTCCTGGACAGCCTCAGTGCCCACCTTCTGCGTGTCACCCACCCCAGCCCCAGAGCCAACGTCCCAGGGATCGGCTACCTGAGTGCGAGTCGGGAAAGGACAGGTAGCAGATGCTGCTTTTCTGAAACACAGGAAACCAGGTGAGGGCCAGCTCAAGTCAGGGCCACGGCTGCTCCCAGGAGGGCCAGGACCCACCTCCTTGTCCGTGAGCCGGAAGTCACTGGGGTATACCAGCTGTGGGGACACAGGGCACCCGGTCACCTGCTGCCTTGCAGGAATGCTTCCCTGGCAGCCGCCGCCTCCTCTCCGGCTTCTCCGGCCCTTCTTAGCGCGAGTCCCCTCCATCCTTCTCTCCTGTCAGCTACAACACGTGGGCCAGCTCCCCAACTCCCTTCTCGCACCCCTCCCCTCGTGCAACTGTGCTGAGACCTCCCTGCCTCCCTCAACCCAGGGCTCGTCCCCAGCGCTTCCGGAGGTGGTTTTCAGAACCCCCACACCTGCCTCTTTCCCACAGCAAGTGACCCCAGGGCTCTGCCTGCAGGTCCCACCTCCCCTCTGTTCCCCCTCCTGAACCCTTCCACTTAGCCAGAAGGTCTCGGGCTGCACAGTTCCCCAGGGCTTGCTCCCCTAGATGGGGCATGCCCAGCTTCCCCATTTCCTGGTCTTGAGTCAGATGGCACCGAAGACAGTGGCATCCCTGCCTGTGGACAGCATCTCGAGCGCTTTCACCCCAACCTCTGCTAGTCAGGAACCCTGAAGCTTCTGGCCTGTACCCCCCGCTCCAGCAAGAGCCCTAGGAGAGCACCCTGAGCCCTGAAGCGTCAGCAGGAGGCCCTTAGGGATGTAGGAGGCAGGCCACACTCTGGAGCAGCAGCGGCCTGAGGCTCGCTCTCGGGCTCAGCAGCTCTATGCGCAGGCCCAGGGCCAGAGTGGATTTCATTACAGGATCCCCCCAAAAGGCAGGGGGCCCCACAGCCCTCACTGCAGTGTACCTCTGAGGTGTCTTCCTGGGAGCTGGTGTGCCTTGGGCTTTGCTGCCCTGGCCTGTGCTCTCCAGAGAGCACAGTGCTAAGAGTCTATGGGGGGGCCAGGAGACAGGGCTTGCATGCAAGGAGCTCCAACTTGCCTTGTCCCCCCAGACTCAACACTGAGGAGGAGCTCGGTTTAAGCTGAAGTGAAACTGTTCAATAAAAAAAATTGATTGTGAAAGCATTAAAGGCTACTACTCCTCTTACTCTTCTCACCAAATTTTGTTTTGGAAATATGACTGTTTTCATGAAAATCTCTACGTTAACAGACTACTTTTATTTTAACGTCAGCTCAATAAATATTGTGTTTTCTCAGCTTTAACTTCTAGTACAGTAAACGTTGACACATATCCGTACAAAAAGCTTCTTGGGGGGACGCCTGGTGGCTCAGCAGTTCAGCGTCTGCCTTAGGCTAAAGCCGTGATCCCAGGGTCCTGGGATCGAGTCTTGCATCGGGCTCCCCGCAGGGACCCTGCCTCTCCCTCTGCCTGTGTCTCTGCCTCTCTCTGGGTCTCTCAGGAGTAAATAAAATCTTTTTTTTTTTAAATTTCTATTTGTTTATGATAGTCACACACACAGAGAGAGAGAGTGGCAGAGACACAGGCAGAGGGAGAAGCAGGCTCCATGCACCGGGAGCCCGATGTGGGATTCGATCCCGGGTCTCCAGGATCGCGCCCTGGGCCAAAGGCAGGCACTAAACCGCTGCGCCACCCAGGGATCCCGAGTAAATAAAATATTAAAAAAAAAAAAAGTTTTTTGGGGGCATCAATAACGTTCACGATTATAAAGGGTCCTGGGACTGTGCAGTGCCGGAGCTGGGGCCTGGGAGGGCACAACCACCACAGTGGAGGGGGGCTCTGGGGCCCTCCAGGCAGAGCTCATGCCACAGGCTTCCCAGGGTGGCTGGGTAGGCGCAGCCAGGCCCCCTCCTCAGCTTATGCATAGGTTCCCGTCCCCCACCTACCCCCAAGGCCCTGCCTCACCCGCAGGCTTCACTGAACCTATCAGCCTGGAACCCCCTCCCTGTATCCCATGCGCACTGGGGGTCCCAAACCACTGTGTCCCTAGCACAGAATGTGAGCTCCTACAGGGCAAAGCCTGGCTGCTTTACTGGATTTAGCGGATGAGTGAGTGGAGAGCTCCTGGCCTTCGTTGTTGCTGCCTTTTCTGAGGAACAGTTTACGTCAAGCAGCCCCTTCTCCCCCGCCTGCCTCTCTCCTCCTCCTCCTCCAAGACCAGCCATGCCCGGCCCCTCCCTCTGAGCTGCATTTGTCCAGTGTCTGTGGATCACCAGCTCCTGGAAGGCAGCCTCTGGGTCTGTCGTCCACATTCGTGCACCGTGGACGATGCTGCGAGGTCTGCATTGCTCAGGCAGTCCAAGATGGGTGAGCACTGAGCAGGTGCTCCTCAAAACCCAGAAAATTCGACTGAAATGACCCCAAGCAAGAGGCAAACCTGATAAGGACTGTGTGGCTGTGCTGCCTGATAGGCTCACGGCCAGACTCCCACACAGACCTCACAATTCAGAGAGGCCCTACGTCCCCAACACCCCCAGCCAGAGCTGTGCACCCTCACCAAAGGCTCAGAAAGTCACAGAGCCTTGAACAGGACTTGCTGAGAATCAGCTTTCTAAAAGTTCTAGAAAAATGTACTTAAGAATGCCCTAAGGACACAGAAAAAGCTCTTAACTTCAGTGATTTTCCGAGGAATGTGAGCAACAGTGAGGATGTGGGCTCTGCAGCCCCAGGCAGATCTGTCACCTCCAGGCGCTCCACGGGGCTGCAGCAGTAACGCCCGCCTGGTGGGGATGGGCGCCTGGTGGGGATGGGCAGGCCAGGCAGACCCCAAAGTCCTGGACAAGCGTCCGCCCTTTCTGTTTGGAAGACTGGGGTCTCCCACAGGCTCTCAGGAGTCAGCACAGCCTTAGCACATGCCCCTGGCCCCCCTGGAGGCGCACAGCTTCCCGGTCTGTGTCCTGACCTCGGGGCATATGAACGACCTTGTGACAGGCCCGGGGACGCAGGGAGGAAGGGAGGCTGCCCAGGGTGGGTGGGGGGCCTGCAGGCAGTGGGGCACCCCAGGCCCCCGAGCGGGTGCAGCTGGTGAGCAGGACGCCTGCGGGCTGGAAAGGGCCCCGAGCCTGCGTGTGAGGCCGGGTGAACGCGGAGGTGTGGGCGGAGCCCGCGCGGCCGCAAACGTTGGCCGGGGGGGTGGGGGGGGAAGGGGGTGACCGCGCCCGAGCGGACTCCCACCCTGAGTGACCCCGCGACACGGAGGGTGGAGGCCGGAGACCCGCCGGGCACCTCGAGGGCAGGGCCCGCTCTCCTGGTCCCGGGGGACGTCCTGGCAATCGGACCCTTCGTCCTCTGTTCGGGGAGAGCACTTTGAGGAGTGACCGGCGCCGGGCTTCCGAGGGGTCGGTCCCAGGGTTGCTCCCAGGATGCGGGGGGCGGGGGCTGGGCGCGTCCCCCGCCCCGCCGTGCCGCCCCCTCCCCCTTGCCCCCGCCCCCCGCCGCCGCCCCGCGCGGCCCGCTCACCTCCAGCGCCTGGCCCAGCTCCAGGTCGAAAGTGACCACGCACACACACTCCAGCCAGGCCGAGAAGCGCGCCCACGGTGCTCCCGCAGCCCGCGCTCCGGGGGACGCCGCGCCCAGGCGGCCGCCGCGAGCCCGGCGAGGCCCGGCGCCCGACAGCGCGTCCATGGCGGCTGGGACTGCGCCCGCCGCGCGTTGCCGGGGGAACGGTTCCGAGGCGTTGCCGGGGGAACAGCCCGGAGGCGGACGCCTGGCGCCGGAAGGGACCGCGCCGCGGAGCAGTGGAGCGGCAGCTGCGGGCCAGAGGGGCCATACCGCCGTGTCGGCGCCTCTGGCGGCCGGAGGACCGCTGTGCAGCGGAGCGGCGCCCAGCCCACCAACGAGAAGGGCCCGCGCGGGCCAGAGCGGCCGGAGACAGGAGGCGGAACTTCCGGGGAGGTCGGTCAGGCGGGAGTCGGGGCTTCCGGGGGCGCCGCTCGGACGGGAGTGGCGCGCAGGCGCGGGGAGCCTGTCTCGGCGGCTCTCGCCGCTCGCGTCAGGGCCGACACCTGCCGCTGTCGGGCTCGGATTCCAGCCGGGTCGGGACGTTGCCCCGCGATGCCGGGTGTCTGCCTGTGGTCCCCCGCGGGGTCGTGTCCGCAGCCCCCCGCGTCGTGACTCCGTGGGCCTGCCCGCCGACCCCCCGGAGCCCCCGAGGCCGGAGCGGCACCTGCGCGCGGTCTGGGCCACGACCGCCAGGTCCCCGCGGCTTCCCGGCGCGCGGGGCCTGCTAGGGGCCCGGTGCCCCGGGTCGCCGCGGCGGACGGGGCTCGTGATGTGCGTGCGCCTGTCCGAGTCCCGGCCCAAAGCTGGTCACGTGCGCGCAGAATGAGGGACGTGCTGTGATGGGCCACGACCATCCTCTGCGGTGACCCCCGCCCTTGAACTTAAGGCGCCCCTGTTCCGAAGCTGACAGCGATGCGCCACCGAGTGTTCCCAAGCATCCCGTTAGGAAGTGTCCGATGCAGAAAAGGTCAGTGAGCTGCACCCCGGCCGCCCAGTCACCTGTTTTACCCTGTGTCCCCGCATCTGTCTCCATCCCTCAAGCCACCTTATTTTTAGATTACGTCCAAAGACAGTTGTAGACATCAGTGCTCTCCCCCACCAAATACTTCAGTGTGTGTATTATTAACCAGTACTTTTCAGTTTTTTCTTTTTTTTGGGGGGGTGGGGGTGGGGGGAAGTAAAATAAATTTATTTTTAATTAATAATTTTTTATTTATGTATTTATTTATTTTAGAGTAAAATTCATGTGTAGCGAAACGGGTGGGTTTTTCGTTTGTTTTTAAAGACTTTATTTATTTATTTATTTATTTATTTATTTATTTATTTATTTATTTATTTATTTATTCATGAGAGAGAGCGAGAGGCAGAGACACAGGCAGCGGGAGAAGCAGGCTCCATGCAGGGAGCCCGATGCGGGACTGGATCCCAGGACTCCAGAACCATGTCCTGGGCCAAAGGCAGGCACTCAACTGCTGAGCCACCCAGGGATCCCAGAAATGGGTGGTTCTTAGAATCACCATTAACCCAAAGAACTAGCAGGATAAGGAAGGAACAGCGCCATCCCCTCAGGAAGTCCCCTCTTGCCTCTTTTCCAGTCGAGCACCACCATCCTCCACGACTCCAGGATTCTTTGCACCACGGTGACCCTGTTCCGGAACTTCATAAAAGTGGAATCATACAGCTTGAAGTCTTGTGTGTCTGGCTTCTTTCGCTCACCGTAATGTGTTTTTTTTTTTTAAGGATTTTTATTTATTTTGATAGAGAACGAGGCAGTGTAGAAGCAGGAGGAGCAGCAGAAGCAGAAGGAGAAGCAGGCTCCCCACTGAGCAGGGAGACGGATGCTGGGCTAAATCCCAGGACCCCGGGATCATGACCTGAGCGGAAGGCAGACGCTTAACAGACTAGGCCACCCAGGCACCTCCACAATGTTTTTGATATTCATCCATTTTGTGGTGTATTTCCCGAGCTCATCCCTTCTTACTGCAGAGTATGCTTCTTTGTAAGTGTAATACAGTTATTTATTCATTTATCCTATTGATCCTTTGCATTTCTATAGAAATTTTAGTAGTAGCTTATCAGTTCCTTTTTTTTTTTTTTTTAAACAAAGATTTTGTTTATTAAAGAGAGAGCGCACAGGAGCAGGGGGCAAGGCAGAGGGAGAAGGCGAAGCAGACTCCCCAGTGATTGGGGAACCAGTTGCAGGGCTCAATCCCAGCACCTTGGACTGGATCCTAGGACCCTGGGATCATGGGTGAGCCAAGGGCAGACACTTAAACAATGGAACCATCCATAGCTCATCATTTTCTACAAAAAAACGAAAGAAGACCATGTGCTGAAAATTTCCCAGGAATTGCATTGAATCTACAGATCAATTTAGGGAGAACTGCCATCTCACGTTGCTAGTGTTCTATGCATGACATGCCCATGACATTTCACTCCATTTATTTAGGTCTTCAGTAATTTTTCTTGGCAATGTTTTTGTTCCTTGGGAATTGGAGCACACCCAAGTTTGATAATAGGCTAGGAGAGTTCATAGGATTTAGCATGTAGTCATTCTATGTCATTACATCATATCTTTATTTCAGTAAAAGGATACAAAATAAAATCAACAAAGAGAAAGACTCTTGGGGCAAAGTTTCCGGGAGACCAGCCTCCAGGGTCCTTTCTCTGTGGAGTCCCAGAGGAGGCACTTTAAATGTGTCAATGAGTTGTGATAGGATGTGAAATGTTGCCAACCAGGGAAGTTCCTTAGAGAAGCTTATTGGGAGTTTGTATTTCTTTCCTAAGGCCTCTGTAACAAATTGATACAAACTAGGTGGCTTAAAACAACAGAAACGTATTGTCTTACAGTTTGGGAGGCAGAAGTCAGAAATCAAGCTGTCAGCAGGTTTGGTTCCTTCCCAGGGTTGGGAAAAAGGATTTGTTTCAGGCCTCTGTTAACTTCTGATTGCTGCCTGCAAACCTTAGTTGGATTGTAGATGTACCATCCTAATCTCTGTTTGTACATCAGCTTCTCCTCTGTGTCTCTTCTTGATTTTTCTTAGAAAAACACCTGTCATTGGATTTAGGACTGCTCTTCCTGCGCCCCCCACCCTGAATCAAGGATGATCTCAAGATCCTAACTTAATTACATGTGCAAAGACCCTTTTTCCACAGGTCACGTTGACAGGTTTGGGGTGGATATCTTTAGGGGAAGGAACACCATCCAGCTCCCTACAGGACCAGTCAGATAAGCAGCCTCTGTCCAGTGCCTGCCCAAATTCCAGATGCCCAGAAAGAAAATGGGTGGTCAATAGAAGTCACATTGAGTTTAGACATTATGAGCCTCTCTGAGCACTCCTTGGAGTGATGGGAACTCTCCTGAAATCCATGTTCCCAGATGCCCACCAAGGGTTAAGTTGGTAAGCAGGGGCTTTCTATGACTAAGTGGTTAGCCGGCTGCATCAACTCTTTTCTGCACTCCCTTCTTTTTGTTAGATTTATTCCTAAGTATTTTATTCATTTTGATACAATTGTGACTGGAATTTTCTCTTTCTTTTTAAAGTATAACATGCAGTATTATGTTAGTTGCAGGTGTACAATATAGTGATTTAACAATCCCATATATTACTCAGTACTCATCACAATAAGTGTACTCTTAATCACAATCACCTATTTCACCCATCCACTCACCCACACTTTTCCTGTGAATGGAATATTTTTTCTTAAAAATTCTCAGGGGCACCTGGGTAGTTCAGTCAGTTAAATGTCTGGCTCTTGGTTTTGGCTCAGGTCATGATATTGGAGTCTTGGAGCCCCTTATCAGGTCCTGTACTCAATAGAGGAGTCTGCTTCTCCCTCTCCCTTTGCTCTTCCCCCCCATAAATAAATTTAAAAATCTTTAAAAATTTTTTTCAGATTACTTGTTGCTGGCAAATAGAAGTATAACTGCTGTTTATCTATTGATATATCATCCTCTGACTTCAGTAAACTATTATTTCTAGTAGGGCTTTTTTTTTTTTAATAGATTCCTTAAGATTTTTTTTTTTTTTTAGGATTTTATTTATTTACAGACAGTGTGTGTAAGGGGGGGGGGTGCTCAATCTCACAACCCCAAGATCATGACCTGAGCCGAAACCAAGAGTTGAACACTTGACCGACTATGCCACCCAAGTGCCCCTTTCCTTATATATATTTTTAAGATTTTATTTACTTATTTTAGAGAAAGAGGGACAGAGCATGGGGGGGGGGTGCAGAAGGAGAGATAGACTCCCCGCTGAACAGGGAGCTTGATCCCAGGACCCTGAGATCACGACCTGAACCAGAGGCATCTAGATGTCCAAATGACTGAGCCACCTAGGTGCACTGTCCCTTGTGATTTTTAAATAGATAATCATATCATCTGTGAATAAAGGTAATTTTGCTTCTTCCTTCCTTTTTTTTTTTTTTTTAGGTTTATTTGTTTACTCATGAGAGAGACAGAGATAGAGGCGGAGACACAGGCAAAGGGAGAAGCAGGCACCCTGTGGGGAGCCCAATGTGGGACTCATCCCAGGACCACACCCTGGGCCAAAGGCAGACACTCAACCACTGAGCCACCCAGGCATCCCTTGCTTCTTCCTTTCTAATATGTATGCCTTTAATTTTTTTCTTGCCTTATTGCACTAGCTGGAAACTTTTGTACAATGTAGAAAGATTTCAAATATTTCTTCTATTCCTTGTCTTTCTTTTCCTTCTGGTGTTCTCATCCCATGTCGGGTACACCTTTTGCAGCTGCCCCATCATCGTCTTTGGATGTTCTCTTCTGTGCTTTTCGGATTTTCTCTTTATTTTTCAGGTTTTTTTTAAAAGATTTTATTTATTTATTGAGAGAGACAGGCACAGCCACAGGCAGAGGGAGAAGCAGGCTCCATGCAGGGAGCCCGACGTGGGACTCCATCCCAGGTCTCCAGGATCATGCCTGGGCTGAAGGCAGCGCCAAACCGCTGAGCCACCTGGGCTGCCTGGTAATGATACTTTTTACACGATGCTGAATTTGGTTCTTCATTCATTCCTGCTGATTTGCATGACCATCTTGTGTCATTTCCTTTCAGCTTGAGGAACTATCTTTGGTGCTTCCTATAAGGCAGATCCGTCAGCAATGAATTTTCTATTTTGTCTGTGAACGTCTTGATCTCACCTTCATTTCTGAGGATTGTATTTTTGGGTATAGAATTTTTTCAGTGACAGGTTTTACTTTTCCTTTGGCACTTTGGATGTGTCATTCTATTGCCTCATGGTCATTGTCCCCTTATGAGATTTCAGCTATTAGTTGTATCATTGTTACCCTTTATGTGATGGGCCATTTTACTCTTGCTGCTTTCATGGTTTCCTGTCATGACATGCAGGAATTTGGTGATGGCATACAGAAGTTCGGATCTCCCTGTGTTTCTCTCATGTGGGCCTATGGATCAGTAGTCTTATGATGCACTGGCTTCTGTCTGGCTGAAGTGTGGCAGTTCTTGTAGAACAGGATAGGTCCACACTTCCTCCTGTTCTGATGGCACTCAGAAGGAAGTGTTTATTTTATTTAAGATTTTATTTTATTTTAAGATGTTATTTATTCATGAGAGACACAGAGAGAGGCAGAGACACGGGCAGAGGGATAGGCAGGCTCCCTGTGAGGAGCCCGATACAGAACTCGATCCCAGGACCCCGGGGTCACACCCTGGGCTGAAGGCAGATGCTCACCTGCTGAGCCACCCAGGCATCCCCCAAGATTTTATTATTTTTAAGTAATCTCTGCACCCAATATGGGGATCAAACTCATGACCCTGAGACCAAGACTCATATATTCTACTGAGCCAGCCAGGTGCCCCTGGGCAGCACTCATTTTACACCACAGTTTTACTTTTTTCAATTTATTGGTGAATAATTTTGCATTTGGTGTTCTTAGTGATAGAATTTATTTTAGTTGATCCTCCTCCTGTGTCAGAAATACTGAATTCAGCTTGGCTCTATTTTCACCATTTTGTGTACACTATAAGGCAGTTTAGAAGAGAAGTCTGTTAGGGAGCTATACATATTAATATCTTAAGAGCAATTACAGAAACAAGGATTGTGGTAGCTCTACATATTTTCTCTTTGCACATTACAGTGGGTTTTTAAAAAAGATTTTATTTGTTTATTCATGAGAGACCCAGAGAGAGGCAGAGACACAGGCAGAGGGAGAAGCAGGCTCCCTGCGGGGAGCCCGATGCAGGACTCGATCCTGGGACCTTGACATCACACACTGAGCTGAAGGCAGATGGTCAACCCCTGAGCCACCCAGGTGCCCCTCACATTACAGTATTTACTTGTCTATTTACCGACCATTTTCTTCTCTCTCCTTTCCAGTTTTTAAAATAAACAGGTGGTCGGAGGTTATCTATTATTTCACTTTAACATAAGGGCATAAGAGAATACTCAGTGGGATGGAAAAAGAATTCAAGGAGTACAGAATGCAGCCAACCGTTGATACAGGGGCGTCTGTGACTGCAGGTGTGCTCATTATCAATGCTTATTCTTCACCTGTAATAAGGACAGATGCATCTTGTTAGGTGAAAATAAAGCGTTGTTTTGTTGTTTTTTTTTTTTTTTTCAAAGATTTTATTTATTCATGAGAGACACAGAAAGAGAGAGGAGCAGAGAGACAGGCAGAGGGAGAAGCAGGCTCCATGCAAGGGCCCT